TCGAAGGGACACACACTGTTAGAGATAAATTAGTTCCTATAGCCAAAGCACCCATGTTTAAAATAAAGAGTTCAGTATAAGCCGGTCACAGTTTGGAGGAGAAATGGTTGTATTTGTCAAAACCACTGACCACCACTGTGTCAGGAAAACTCCTGGGCCGCTCAGGGTCCTATCAGGAAAGAACATATTTATGATCTTTACTGCTAAATATCTATGACTACATGATTTTGTAAACTGAGAGAGATTTTTACCTGGATTGGATAAGCACACGTAGGGACATATCGGATGACGTAGCCACAGCGCCTCCTATTAGATGTGTTGGGATCGCTGGCATGAACCAGAAGTCCATCATGGACCTGTGTGGGAACAGAATTCAGACAATGAATGCTTGGAAAATGCTTCAATTAAACTCAGACATCCACCTTATTTTTGAACATAATATTGGACGTGTCTGTGTTCTGGTCTCATCTGCTTCTAGTTATTTTTACCTGTTCAAAACAGCTCATTTTGCTGCTTGATATTGCAAACTGGTATTTCTTACCATGTTATTTCAAAGTATTGTTGTAATTATAAACTCACTGGTTTGGAGTGCAAACAGTTTTACCATTCACTGCATTACTGCTATTCTTCTAGTTATTTATTTACAGCGGCTAATGAATCAGAAGGCTCACATATTTGCAGAAAATCGCTTACTTCTACGTCGAAAAATAGGTGGATAAGATCGTTTTGATTTGTACTTGGTCAGTGTGTAATGTCCCAGGATAATACTTTATTTCGATGGTCCACTTCAGACATTCTACTGACTACAAGTAACTATGCAACTACATGTAAACTCAATCTACTCGAACCCTAACCTAACAGTCTACTACTAATACTCTGGTAGTTGACATGTAGTAACAAATTATAGTTAGTAAAGTGTCTAAAATGGGCTATTGAAATAAAGTGTAACCTTGACGGGTAGTGTACCTGCATTCTGTCACTGCATATTGTTTTTGTCATACATTAAAGAAATGCCTGGGGAACATATAAATAGACACTCACAGACATCTGACCAGCTTGAAGGGGGCATAAGAGGGCCTTCTCTGGGTGCACCAGCTCCTCTGGGATCTCCTGATTGACACTCAGCATGTTCCCAGCTCGTTTTGATTGGAGATGGGGCAGAAGACCGGATTGGTGACTACCTGTTGGATGAATAAGGACAATTTAGACACTTCCCATTACAAACCAGACATAGAGGCACATAGAGCAGTGTTTGTACCTGGAATAACTTGCAGTGCTCCATTGTCCTCAAGCGAGTCATCAAGGGCAAGCCATACAGACAGAACGGGACCTCCATCAAAACCCCAGTACCTAAAGACCAAAACATGATGAAACATGAGCCAATAAAATAAACAACAACAAAAAAAACACATAATCGAATGCAAGCAAGCAAGCAAGCAACTTTATTTATACAGCACATTTTTTAAACAACAGACGTTGCCCCAAAGTGCTTTACAGAATAATAACATAAAAGTCATACAACAAAACAGACATACTTTATTCAAAAGCTAAAGAAAATAAATACGTTTTTAAATAAGACTTAAAAGTTGTAATCGATGGAGCTGACCTCACATGGAATGGGAGACTATTCCAAAGTTTGGGACCTACCACGGAAAAAGCACGATCTCCTTTTGATTTTAAATTACAACGAGGTACCTTTAAAAGTCGTTGATCGGAGGACCTTAGAACTCTAAAAGGAGAGTAAGGAATTATAAGATCACTGATGTACTGGGGGGCAAGGCCTTGTAAACAAACAAGAGAATTTTAAAATCAATCCTAAATTTGACCGGTAGCCAATGTAGGGATTGCAGGATGGGAGTAATATGTTCTCTCTTTCGCACCCCCGTTAAAAGCCTTGCCGCTGCATTCTGCACTAACTGTAGGCGGACAAGAAGAGTCTGGGGGAGACCGATATATAAAGAATTGCAGTAGTCAAGCTTAGATGTAATAAAGAATGAACTACAATTTCTAAATCCTCACTAGATAAAAAATGCTTTACTTTAGCAATTGATCTCAGGTTAAAAAAGCTTCCTTTGACAACAGCACCGATCTGTTTCTTAAAGTTAAGTGCTGAGTCCATAATTACCCCTAAACTCTTTACATGATTCTCAGTCTTTAGGGATAAAGAACCCAAATGATCAGGAAAGCAAGATGAGACGGGAGAGCCTACAATCAAAACCTCAGTTTTACTCTCATTACGGAATGGTGCTTACGTCATGTCCTGGTGCCAGGCCACAAACGGCATTGCTTCCATCTTATCACTGCTCACATTGATGATGCCATTGCTTTCTGGCTTTCGCACTGGATATTTACAAATGAATCTGGAGTCAAGCAGGATAACGTCGGGCCCCAGAACTGCAGTGACCACCTCAAGTAGCCGAGGGTGCTTGGCGAGGGCCATCACCCAGTCATTATCCTTGTGGATGTTATGAAGGCTGTAAGCAGTGTAATCTTCACCTGTAAGAGAACACCTGGGTTATTTCGATATTTCAATTCAATTGAGTCCAAGCCAACAACAGGAATGCAGCAGTTCCACTGAAGTCAAGTCAAGTCACCTTTATTTATATAGCACTTTTTTTACGATACAGATTGTTTCAAAGCAGCTTCACAGAGATAACAGGAAAATAATGCAACAAAGTTTGTTTCCAGAAGAAAATAGCATCACAGTCCAGCGTAAGTAAGTTCAGTGATGGTTCATTTTTATTGTACATTTAGTTCATTTATATATAAATAGCCGTTCTGGAGAAAACCGTGATGTCATCGTCCAGCTCGGTTGGTTCTCATTTATTGGTGTCAATTCAGACAGATCAATATACCGAACCTCACCATGTTTTCTCTCCAGCTCAGCGAAGGCATCCCGGGACTGCTGAAGCTCTTCTGGACTCAGGATGGGAAGAGCCGACAGATACCCCTGCTGCTCGTACTGGGCCCGAATCTCAGCCGCGTCTCGGTTCATGTCTGAAAAGGCAGGGAAACTTCCGCTTGTCTGCTTTCTCAAGAGCTTGGCTTAATCTCAGCTGTGCAAACTCCACCGGGAGAGAGAACCTGTTTTTATAACCTGTGGTATGGAGAGAGAAAGATGGAAATTAAACTTTGGGTCCATGCTCAGTCTGGCATTTCCTTTTTTGACCTCTGAAAACCTCCTTGTCTTGGCCTTACTACACCTCATTTATTCATGGCAAATTTATTCAGGGTTATTTATGCAGGGACAGAGAGGCCTATGGTGCCTGGAAGCAATGGTCCATGAGCAATTAAATGGGGAGAACAACTTACTCTTAAGCATATAAGGGTGGAGGTGAGTCACAGTTAGCAGTTAAACGCTGGCATCTATTTAGCCATCTGTCTAGTACACTCGTTTTCATTGCTAAAGTTCACTGAGTTTGGCAACAACAAGAAACACGCACCTGAGTCCGAAAGCTGTTGGTTTCTTTCTGCTGAGTCTTGGTGCAAGCTGCAAAGATGAAATAAATTAAAATAAAAACACACACAAACTTATAATTTTTTTTAAAAAGTACAGACGCTTAAAATTGTATTGAAGCACCATGCATCAGCAATACCTGCTGCTTCTCTGCTGTTCCGGCTGTTTCTTCCTGAGGTGTTGTGCTCTTTCCCATCAAACTGTGAATATTTATAATCATTTGAGAATTAGGCTCCTCCCCCATTACAACATCACACATACCTGCAGATTCCAGGGAAGAAAAGAGGGCATATATTTTTTTAAATATCCTAGGGTGTGTAAACATTGAATACGTTTCAAGAAACTCCAAAAAGAGCATTTCCTTTTGTGAGTCATTCTTTGTGTGTATCTGTCGCTGGATATTACCTACTCATCAAAACACAATGGAAACCTGTCATCTCTCAGCATGTGCTGAATGTCACCTTGTCACCTATTGATCAACATTGTGGCAAAGTGAAATTATGTTTTCAAAAATGAACACACTGACTAAACCTATGACTCCCATACCCATAGTTTTTTACTAAATATTGTACTATATGAAACTATTTACACAGTTTGTATCCATTTTAAAACATTCTTACGCTTTGCCTAAAGGTGAACAAAATAATGGCTTAAAATATTTATTAAAATAAAAATAATTCTACTTCTTAAGATTTCTATTAAAAAATGCCCATTTATTTACATATGGTGACATTTACAATGCAATTACAATGATTTCAGTTGTTAAAGAAACTGAAACTTTTTTTTCTTTTTCTTTTTTACAGAGAAAACAATAGTATAAACCATCTACCAATAATGACATGGTCATTATTATTTTTTATATTCCTTTATATACAGTATATATATGTTGTCTTGTCTTAAGAATGTGGGTGGTACAATCAACTATATTGTTAATGTGTATTTTATTGAAACAATATAGTTGAACATTTCAAAGCAATTCTAAAGGGACACATTGAATTGGATATAATCGTAAATAACAAACAAACAAACATTAACAATGCCTGACCTATAACAGGTGCAAGAGCAGGGATGGGCATTATTGAGAGACAACCACATTGAATTTAAATTAATCATCATTCATATCCTGTTTTCTTTTTCATTATAGATTTACTATTCCACATGTTTAACTTTTTAATGTTATTGTTACAATCTATTTGATTTATTATGTCATTTTTATCCTAGTGTCAATTGCTCTTGATTGATTTGTTTGGGAAATATGCTATCTAAATAAAGTTGAATTGTTTGACAAAACTGAGCAAATATCCTGGAAAAAATCTGTTGTCATTACTCAGGAAATTCCAATGGCCTCGGGTTTCCTTAAAGTCAAAGTGCAAAATCATCTCAAGCTGTTTCCTGTTAGTAACGTATTAAGAAAAGGTCCATTTGCTGACATATTAACTGAAAAAAAAACAAATAGGCCTATAAAGATTACAATATTTACTGTCTGACATGGATTGTTTGAGTTTCATGTGTTCAGCCATTGAACTGGTTCAGATTGTCTCATATTAAAACTACAAAAGTGCACAGTTTCCATACAGTCATTGTACAAACACAATCCCTTCAAGAACATAAAAGAATAATACAAAAAAGAATAACAAGAAAAAAAACCTCAAATAAATATAGCAGTTAAAAGGGACCTAAAAGATAGAAACTAGCTTTCTTGAATGTGATGAATGAATGCGTGTCAGCGTTCAGGGGAAGTCCAGCTGGCCGTGATGTTCACAGTGTTTGGGACAAACGTATCCCCCCCGCTGATCTTCTCGGTTCTTCCTCCTGTCGGTCCTGGGCCGGTCCTGCTCGTTGTTGCAGCGATGCACCAGAACCGGATCTTTCTCGGCTGGAGATTTCTTCATCAGCAGTCTCTGGAGAATCTGTTTGTCTGAGCGTTCCTTGTGAAAATCATCCTCATACACCTTTAGCTAAGAAAAAAGAACAAATCAAGATAAAAAAAAATAAAAAAAAACATTAGATATCGGTTTGATTGTGCCTTTCATTCATTGGAAATGTGCAGTAAGTTGTTTCTGTAATTGCATTACAGACTATAACGACAGTATTGTAGTTCACATGCAGAAATGAAATGGTAAATAATGGTTCAACTAATATTAATGTTCACATCAATCCATTAAAACCTGACAAGATAATTATCAACATTCCTGTTAAATAGATAAGCGTGCAAGACTCTCATGTATTAGGACATATTCAACATCACGACATCATGACATTTAAATTGGTTTCACTGGAAACTACCGATCATTTCCTTTTGCAAATAGATTCTTTGTTCATGTGACAGGTACTTCAAAATCACAATGGAAATCTTTGACGGAAGTCTGATGAGCGCGATCTACAGGTGACAACATCATGATAAAGGTGCATCGTCTTGTAGAAACACTTCTTGTAGAAACACTCCGTTTTGTCATCAACTAAATGAATTGAGTGTCTAATATTCTGCTTATGTGTCCAATAGGTAAATGTGATTTCACCAAGAAATTGATCAAACATGTTAATCCTGGAACAACATTCCAATCAACCAATCGGATTTGAGGGATAGGTTTACAGTTTATGCCAAGTTTAGTCTTACAACCAGGCGTAGGTGCGTCTACATAAGTGTTACTCACCTATCATTTCCTTCTGGTTTATGGTATAAGTTATGGTTAGGGTTAGTTTATGGGTAGGGACAGGTTTAGGACTTGTAATGCTGTAATGCAAAATCATAAATGTAATAATCTATTGCATAAGGCAACAGACGCAGGTCTCATTAGTTAATGTGAACTAACAATGAGCAAAACATTTGAAACAGTATTTATTAGGGGTGTAACAATATTTTGTGTCACAATATATCGCAATACAAAAATCCAACAATATGTATTGTGTATAGTTCACCCAAAATAAAAATTACTGTGTGTGAAAAGTTTTAGTGTCAGTACCTCATTACACTATTATATATAATGTTGAATATAATGTATAATAATGCAATGGGGGAATACTTGTGGATCCTGATAATGGCAAATGTCTGATGTTACCAGTAAAAAGTGGCCTACGTTATTTTAAATATATCTACTAGTCAGAGTGAAAGCATGTTTATTTTAAAACAATTGTATTTTCATCTTCAGAATCATGAATATTGTTATTCTGGTGTCTCTATTGTCCTTTGCTTTGGGTTTCCAGCACTAAGTCCAAGCCTATTCATTTACACACACAATGTAATCATGTAAACAAAATAATCACAATAATCACAATAATATCATATTGTGAGTTCAGAATCGTGATATGTATCCAATCGTGACATGAGGGTCTCGTTACAGCCCTAGTACTTATTAATCTTTGTCAATGTTAGTCATGTTCATTGTTAGTTCACGTCAGCCCAGGATCATTAAATAATATTAACAGACACGATTTTGGATTTTAATAATGCATTAGTAATTAACAGGAACTAAGATTAATTAATTGTTAGATAAGTTCACTAATGTAGTGGTAAATAAATGAACTTTACTGTAAAATGATTCAGTATCTGACATGTCAGACTGCTAAAACGGTTGGTAGGCTGGAGGAATCAGCCCACAAACAGAGGGAGATCACTGTGTTCCATAGGAGATGGTGATAATCTGGTAACACCTGCCCCCCAGTGGTGGAGCTCGGTAACAGCCGCTTGGACTGGCGGGGTTGATGCTCACCTGCTCCTGCAACAGCGCCATCTGCTGACGCATGTCCGCTTCTCTGCGCCGCAGTCTCTTGTTCTCCTGCAGCATGCGCTCATGGTCCTTCTGCTCCGTCTTATAATCAGCCTCATAGATTTTAGTCTGTGGATGGGAAACATTATTGAGATTTGACCGTGCCTAGTCACATTCAACTGTGATGTATGAAACCTTTACAACTTTAATCTCCAGCTGTTCGTTTAAAATGCAAACTATGTTTTTGTAAAAACATCTAAGAAACAAACATTTTAAATAACGATAAACCCCAAATTTAAAGGTTTCTTTTTTAAAATTTTAAGACCATTAGAGGTTATTTTTTCATTATTCTTATTTTCATAATTTACTTTACTGTAATGTAATATATATATATATATATATATATATATATATATATAAATACAATAAAAAGAATAATAAAATGAAACCAACTATATTTATATATTCAACATTGTTAGAAATCATGTTCAAATATTAGTATCAAATATGATCGATCAGACTTTTGAATAACGTTTTTTTGTGCATGTCTCTTTATCATTTTATTGCACTGCATTAGACGTTTTGCACGCCAGAGTTAAATACATATTATTGAGAGATAGAGTTAAAACGTATATCTATATGCGTTTTATGTAAGTATACGGCTATACTGCTATGAAGATGAGAATTTCATCTTTCTTTTTGAAAATATAAATATCAGCAACTGCACCAAATTGCATATTTTCGCTCAGTTTGGGCATCGAATAAAACTGAGATCATAAGACTCCTACATCTGAAGTCATAAAACCACAGGCCTATTTGAAACTGTCTTGGTTGTTTTTGGATGTTACGGTCGCATGTTAACTCGCCTGACACCGCAGCGCCTCCAGCTGTTCTTTCAGATCCTGAACCTCTCTCACCGGGTCAGACCGGATCTCCATTCCCATAGCAGCCAGTCTGAGGCTCGACTTTGTAGACCGTACATCCAGGGAAGGTTTAGAGGACCGCTGGAGTAGCTGAGAGTCTGAGGTGCCACTCATATCTGGGGTCTTCCAACAGAGAAAAAGTCAATCGAAATGTTAAAAGATAGACATGTAGTATAGCTACTGTAAATCTCTGGTCTGACTGATTGTGTAAGCTGACCTGTGTCCCTCTGGTCCACTGGTGAAGATCTGTTTGGTGCAGTCGGCTCTCCAGCAGTCGGATATACTCCTGGAGATGCTGGTTTTTCTTCAGTTCCTGCATCAGTGTTTGTTCATAATATTCCCCCTTATTCTACACACACATAACAGAACAAAAGTGTCAGTGTCCGCTCATGTATCTACTTCTGAATTACAGAAAGTCACACCATAGCATTCCATGAAAATGTACAAACAAACAAACACTAAATAAATAAATAAATGTTCAATGTTCTCAGCTAAGAGGAGGAGCTACAAAAATCCACTGATGAACCTTTTTTTTTATTATGTGATATGTAACCACCCTCGGGCAGCCAAGATCTCAAGCATTAAGTTACTTGTAATTGACAAGTCTTCCCAATATGGCTTACAATTACCAACACTTGGCTGACCACCAGTATCACCAAACAACCCTCTTCAGATTACATCTGTTCACTGGTAGACCACGAGAGCTTGGGTTCATCCTGCTGTTCAGAAATCTACACTTGAATGTCTTCAGCAGTGTGTTATGACATTAGTGTGCTGGAGTATGGGAGATGCATAAGGGATCCGAGTGATTCTGCAAGATTCCTGGCTCTCGACCATCAAATGAACTAATTACTCCAAACAACATATTATGACTTGAAGCCATCCTTTGGCTTTCCTCAAATATAAAGCAGTCCAGATGTAATAAATCAGGTGAGAGATGACTCATCACACATATTGCTTTTCCAGTCACTCAAAGAAGCAGGGTTTGTGCAGCAGGTTATGGACTTGCATAGTCCAATCTGATTGGCTAATACACTGTAAACCCAAATTAGTTCAGTCAAATGAACTTTTATGAGTATTTAGCACTTTCTTTTTCTTTCAAGTTCACTGAACTGATATATTTTAATTAAACTGAACTGTTTCATAGTTTTGAGTTTTATGAAATTATTTATTTTAATTTAGACGAACTTAAGTTTAACTGAAACAGCTGGGATGTCTATTTCCCAGCATGCTTTGCCGATGGCACTCGAAAGGGAGAGTAAATGCTAAAATTAAGTGTAATATAATGTTTTTTTGTGTGTAAGATTAATGTTATGTGTGAGATTTAGTAGTGATTCATGTTTTGTTATGCTAATTTAGAAGAATTTCTGTTAATGTTGGCTTTAGGATAGTTACCATCATGGTGACAAGTGGTGCATGCAGCTTGATTTGAGAGCAAATACTTCATTATGTGTTCATACAGCAAGTGTTTCTGTATAACATACTATTGCTAATATGTTAGCATTTACTATGTTAGCAGATTAGCTTTTTAAAGCTAACTAAGTTCATACTAATAAAAGTATTTTGAGTTCTGCCAACTTATTTGGGTTTACAGTGTACTTCATCGATTTAAGTTATATTAACTGAATGGAATTAGTACTATTAACTTTATTTACCCAAGTTATCTTAACAATAAGTTATTGAGTTATTCAAACACAAATCAAATATTTTTTTAAGCTTAAATTGTTTGAGTTAATAAACTTAAATGATTTAAGGCAATCGGTTTCCTCAAACGGTTTGAGTTGAACTAACTCATCAGGTTTTACAGTGTAGGAATGTTGTTCAGGGATGAAGGATGCTGATCCAAGAACACATGGCAAAAAAGTCACAGTACTGAATTTCTCACAGGTCATTCTTTACGTGTTATTTTGCTTTATCTGTGTTTCTCTTTGACGATTTGGTTTGATCCTTTTTCAGCAGGTCACTATTTTGCATTTTATACAATTACAATGTGTTTTCTGAGACCGATGCACAAAATGTGTTAGTCTAATTTTTTGTTTAAATATCACACATGAAAGTGCTCACTAGGATTTGTATTTGTATTAAAGCTGATGCAAGTGCTAATTGACATCCAGACTGATTCAGTGTCGAAGCTCAATATATAATTGTGATTTCATTACTTCAAACTTGGTGTTACCATGGAAGATATCCAAAAAATGCTAAAATGTTATCACAGTGTAAACATTTTAAAAACCTTAAATAAAAAAAATAAAAAAAAAAAAACGATTCAAAATTTAATATGACTGAATCAACCGGACTAGCTTAGATTATTCCATTGGAAGTCATTTTTATTAGCAGTCACCATGAAATCGAAAGTGTCATTTTTTTACTGAAATATTGCAGTATTTATTATAAATGATTGATCCGTGCATATATATATATATATATATATATATATATATATATATATATATATATTAGGGCTGTCATACTTGTCAAACGATTAATCGCGATTAATCACATCCAAAATAAAAGTTTGTGTTTACATAATATATGTGTGTGTACTGTGTATAATTATTTTTAATACATAAATACCCACACATGCATGTGTATTTAAGAAATATTTGCATGTATATACAGTATATAGACTGAATGTAGCCTATATATGACATATGTATATTTTATATAAATATAAACATTTTATATATAAATAACATATTTTTCTTAAATATATACATGTGTGCATTTATATACAAAATAATTATAAACAGTACACACTTATGTAAACACAAACTTTTATTTTGGATGCGATTAATCGTGATTAATCGTTTGACAGCCCTAATATATATATATATATATATATATATATAATTTTTTTATTTTTTATTAATGTGCCTCATGAGCTTTAATTAAAAATAACTCCCCCTAATTCTTGCAGAGACATCTATTCTCTTCTCTTCTCTGTTACTGGTGTGAGGGCGGGGCAATCTGTCACTCACATGAGATCCACCAATAGCAATCCACCACCATCCAATCAGTTCACTATGGACAAAATCAATTCCTACCCTATAATCTTTCTTGTTCGAGAAGATGATTGCAACTTCTGTTTCGTGCCAGTGATTTGAGTTCAGAGAAGGATTGCCTGTTTGCCCAACCACTGGCAAACGGGATGTTAACAGGTATACTCTAACAATATTTACTTTTCTGTTTAGTGACAACAATGATGCTAAAATTACACACTTAGCTTTAAACACACCTCTGCCATAAGAATTTGTGAGTGTGAGTGTCTGCCCACGCACCTGTTCATGTTCTACTTTGAACAGCAGTCTGCTTTTGAGCTGTTTGAGGGCAGCGTTTTCCTCCTCGAAATCCGCCACACGCTGCTGGAGGCCCGCACTTGTGCTGTGGTAGATATGATCCCACTCCTCGTTCAGTTTCATCAGCTGACACACACACACACACACACACACACACACACACACACACACACACACACACACACACACACACACACACACACACACACACACACACACACACACACACACACACACACACACACACACACACACACACACACACACGTGATGGGTTTCCATGTTTTATGGGGACTTTCCATTAACATGATTTTTAGACTGCACAGACTATATATATTCGATCCCCTAACCCTAAACCTATGACTTCTATTTGTTAATCTGCTTTGTAGTTGTATTTGTTGTATCCTAAGCCTACACTAACCCTAAACCCCTGCAGAAACCATAGGGGCCACTGTCTACCTGTTTTTACTATCATTGCAATGACATTTGATCCCCACAAACTTAGCAAAATCTGATTCACCTACACCCAAAACACTTGTATAGAGCTAAAATTATTGGTTCCATTAAGTGTCTGTGCTAACATTTCAATGAATCATTTGATACAATGCACTTATTGTGTACGGTATATACATGTTTTTACTTTTTTTTAAATGTACTTGCATGTAATTCCAGCTGTAATTAATTTCTGTAATTTTGTCAGGACCACTATCGTCAAATACGAGTGAAAGTTATCATCCAGTAGGATTGGCGGTGTGGTTCTGTTCTGGGCAAGAACTCCCTGCGCATCCATACAGCTTAGCATGGATAAGAGCCGGGAGAGCAGCAATAACCCCCCTTAGAGTAAACAGAACAGAACCAACATGAATGTATTACAGATATCATTAATTAAGTTTAATGTACATCATAATTAGAGAATTTTAGTCTGATTCAGGGGGAATCAGAATGCCAAATCCTGACTGACGAGAGGAGGAGCTGGGGAGGGAGGAGGGTAATTCGCTCCTGAGAAACGCGATAGCTGCTGATATTACTGAAGCTTACATATGAATACAGTGAAAGGCGTCGTATTCCTGTAGGTAGACGTGGATCAGCTGAGAGTCAGCTGATGCGAGCTTGACTAACGTGACCTGCCAGAACTGACATCTTGATTTAGCTTGATTTACATCTATAATTACACTGTTGACTTTTCCTTACACCTTAACCCACCCTTAAACCTCCCCATACTACCAAACCTGTTCTAACCTTCCCCGTATCCCACCTTAATAGCACAATTGTTTTACAATACAACATCAACACAATAAAAACATTGCACCTAACATTCATTTGTTTGTTCGTTTATTTATTTCCTTGTTTCCACCACGGTATAAAACAAATTGAAAAATAATTGTGACTTTTTATTTCGCAATTCTGACTCAATTCTGACGCACATTTCAGATAATCATCAAAATTATAACAAATATAGGCTTGAAATATCTCACTTTGCATGTAATGAGTCTATTTAATATATTAGTTTCACCTTATAAGTTGAATTACTGAAATAAATGAACTGTTGCACGATATTCTAATTTTTCGGGTTTCACCTGTATAAGAATTCAATATATTGGACACTTAATTTAAAAAAAGGTGCAAATGAAAAAGAACTTTCAAAATGAAAGTTAAATCCATGTTCTGAACTATTGTAGTTATAAAAAATCGTATTTTCTTTTCTTTTTATGGTGAATTACAGAATTATACATCAGGTACACTGTATACTAGT